ATTTGAAAGAGTGACCGTTAATAACGTCGTTATTTGTTTTGTGCTTTTCAAATAAAAGTTTTCTATACCCATATAAACTGTCCATCTCTCTATATATACATTAAATATTTATTAAAAAGAGGGACTTGCTCTAAAAAAAAAAAAGACTCTACATATACTTCGGTATCATACTATAGACTGGAGTAACACTAAGTTGATACAACAGATAGAATTAAAATAGAATTGAATACCAGTGAAACTATTGAAATTAAATATATATATAAAATATATTCTATATGAATGTATATATATATAATATTAAACAAGGAAGTTGGTCCAGGTCTAGAAATAATAAAGTACTAGATAGATGTTTTGTAATTATGGGTAGTTTAGGCCTGGATGGCGTTATTGGTATGTACATGATTATGTGGGTATATAAGTCCCAGCTATGCCTTTCCCGTTACTCCTGAATATGGTGTCGTAGGACCCCGAGGGCAAGTCCCTATTTTTTAATAACTATTTATTGTGTAATGATTTTAAAGCTGCATTTCTTTTAATTGTAAATAGATATTTTGCACAAGTGACGTTTTAAATAATTTAAGATCATAAATGTTCAGCTTAAGGATTTCAAAATTTCAAGACCACTATATACTATGTACTGAATAGGATTTGTAAACGTAGGAAGGTGTATAAATGGGCATTGAGAAAATCGAGAAAGAGACATGGAACAGTTCGTAAGGTGAGAATGTACAAACACAAATGTTAATGGCAAATATCGTTTGCGTGCCCTAGGCAACAGTACGCAACATAATCAAGAAGAGCCTTCATCTAGAAATGAGGCCAACAAGCTATCAGTTCACAAAGATAAGGATTCAGTAATTTCTCCCATTAAACCGTCACATACCTCAAGCAGCTGTAAAATTAAATGAGCATTTATGCTATGACATGCCTATGAACTTCTATGCCCTCAGACTGTTGAAATAGGACTGACAAACCTGGTGCACAGATGGATTATGGTTAGACTGTAGAATGGAGTGGTTTGCTTTGGACGTGACGGCATTAGAACAGCCTTTTGCAATGGAACCACACTGAAAAGCTATTATCAAGATAGATGGTTATCAGATAGAGCACGACAAGAAGTAGTCCAAAATCGTTATAACTTAACGTATTCCACTCTCTGTATATATCATGATTTCATACAATCTTGTCTGGACTGTGTTACACATTTGCAGGATTTCATATAAAGTACTTTACTCATCACTGAACTTATACATTTTAGTGATTAATAAACAAATTCACAATTAATATGTTTCACATTCTTATACACAAGAAGACAACATTTGGATATTTCACTCATGCAAATAGCCATTACATAAATGAAAACCTGTCAATCATAGAAGTCTGTTGCGAAATGATTACGAGTACCTGGAATTATAATTATAATAATGTATACTGCTTCCAACCATTGGTGCACTTATTAAGATATCGGATCAAGGCAAAATACTTTCCAAAATGCAAATAAACGATTCTAATTAATAGGCTGATAGGATATTTACTAAAGCTGAATCAGATGTACGAAGCCACATGCAGATGTCACGTCAATGTACAGAGGCACAGTGAAGTGGATTCCAGCTTGGTCATAATATGGCACAAAACAGTTTATCTACATTGATGCAATGAACATGTTAATTATTTTTTACCAATACCATAACGTAAATAAATATATTTTTCACTAATGCAGCCAGATCTATACAATTAGCAAATGTAGTTAGGGTTGAGGTTTAAGCTGTTGACTTAATGTGTTCCTAAAGCAAAATGTTCACTGGTGTTACCCAGGGTAAGAATTTCGTAAGGCCAATCCAAGGGAAAAGGGGTTGGTGCCCCATCTTGCAGAATAACACACGTTCTGATAGCAGCATCAGCTTTCAAATGTAGTCATAAAAGTTTTCCAGCATGTTTTCATATGTAGGTCCAATGACTCAGTTGCTGAAGCAGTAGTTTCTTTGCTTACATTGGGCCCGTATGACAACATTAAACTTAATCCTATAAATAAACTTCATACAATAGTTAAAAAAGTAAGAGTTGTATAACTCTAACACCTTATGAAAAGCATAGTTTAATTCCCAGTAACTTTATTTTACCTAGATTATATGCCTTGCCTAAAGTTCATAAGATTGATAATAATTTCAGACCTATTGTATCCTATGTTAAGAGTTCAACTTATAATGTAACAAAATTTATATCTAAACAAAATCTCATTTTTAAGGGATAAAAAGTTAAGAATTCGTTTAAATTTGTGGAAAGAATTGAGCATATAATTTTAGATCAAAAAGATATTTGGGTGTCATTTTATGTTCACCAAAGTACCTGTGAAAAAAAGCTATTGAATATTTTGAGAAATAACTGAAAGAATATAATAATTCAGTCTTAGAAGTAATGGATATAATTAACCTGGTAGAACTAAGTGTTGAAAACTCATTTTTCCAAATTAATAGCAAAGTTTAAACAGAACGAAGGTTTAGCTATGGGTTCTCCTTTATCTCCGTTATTGTGTGATTTGTTTATGGACAGTTTTGAAAGTGAAGCACTAGAAAAAGCAAATAAAAAACTTGAATTTTGGTTAAAGTATGAATATGACACATATTTCATCTGGCGGTATGGTAAAGATGAACTAGCTAATTTTGCTAATTACCTTAGTAACATTGATAATTCTATAAGATTTTATTATGAAGTTGAGATAAATGGTTGTTTACCTTTTATGGATGTTTTAGTGAGTAAAAATAAGGATAAATTGGAAACTACCATTTATCGTAAACCTTTCTCTGTAATCATTCCGCCACATCAACAATCTTGTCACACTACATCTCACTACATTTTACTCTTATGTGGATAGGATATTAAAATTATGTTGCAAATAG